ACATAAGAAGACAGGCACTGCCTAGAAATTCTCACTTCCTTATCAGGACATCTTGAAATAAAGCACGATTTTCAATCTATTTCACTGCAAAATAAATTCTCAGGTTCAAATTCACTACATATGAATAAAGACTGTTACATTGAACTGCAAAGTAACCTTGTTCTTCTGAATTTTGCACCTCAAGGATATTTGCAGATTTTTCTTTGACAGACAAGGCTAAGGCAACTTCCAAATCTCTCTTATAAAGTTTGTCATCCAAGGATAACCTGGAAAAAAACCACAACCATGGTAAATAATAAAAGAATTATATGAGTGTTATAGATCTTCTTCTGACTTACTGAACTTTTTAAAATTCAGATACTTGTAAAGAGATAAATATTTTGATACTTATTTATAGCATTTCATGTTCTGAGCACTACATTCTGAAATTATTTAGTCAAAGTACACCCTGATGTTTAAAGCACTCTACACTTAAAAGTATCATGATTGCAAAACATTATATATATATATACATACACATAAAAACTAAAATTGGTATTAGCACAGAGTTGACCACAACATTTGTTACCTTTTACTAAGTGCCTGTGTTTGTGACTGAGTCACTTCTTTGGGTGGTTTTTTTTGCTTCTCTTTTTTCTCCTTCTTTGGTTCCTTGGGCTGTGTTTTGGATTTTTTGCTTGAAGGTGCAAAGTCTTCATCTGTTGGAAAACAGCAACAAGCTCTCAGGAGTTTCCCTACACTCTTCCATGTGGCCAAAAGAAGTCATTTGACTTAAATCTCAACACACACTGAAAATATATCACAGATAACCTTTTTTTTCTGAAATTTTTAAAAAATACAACAACTGTAAGTATACTATCCTTAAATGTATTTGAAATGAAAATTCAACAAGACCTCTTTTATATGTGATTTATTCCAGAGGCAGTGATTTCAACTTTTATTAGCAACAAAGCTTCAGTGTCCACTGTGCTACCAGATTTTGATACACTGAGCATCAATCTTATTGATAAAATATGATATGATAGATATTATATATTATAATAGTAATCACTACCACCGTGATTTGAGTTCCTGGTGTTTTGGGATTGTTCCCCTTAACGACTTCCACTTTTAAAAAAATCTATGCTGCTCCCTTTTTTCTACCATTTTCATATTGCCTCCTATTAGCTATAATGCATTCCTCCCATTTTCAAATAAAAATAGAAGGCATGAAAACTGCCTTTCTTTCAGTTGAGGGCACTGCATATTACAGTGCAAAATAAGGAAAAAAAAATAATGATCCTCAGTATTCTCTAAACGATGGAGAACCTTAGCTTAGATCACACAGGTTTTGGAGAACTTATGTTTTTCTTGATTGTTAGAAGTGGTCTAGAAACCACATTATTTATTATTTATTGAATTATTTATTTTTGCTCCCCCTTCCCACCAATTCAAACTGTTCCCTGGATCCTGCAAACAGCATGGAAAAAGAAAGCAAACAAAAATGGAAGCAAACAAACTCTGCCAGAAAAATGAGTAAAAATGAGTAACATCCCTTAGGGCTTAGAAGGCAAGGAGGACCTTTGTGGAAAAAAACAGCTTGCAATCTATTTTTCTGGTCAATGATACTCCAAATTTGACTACTGTGTCCTTACCACAAACCCACTGAGACAGAGAGCTGTGGAGAAATGTTAGACCCATGTAGAGACGATTCACACCTCCTCTACGTTCACATTTACAGCCCTGTGAACTAATAATCAGGGCGTCATAGAACTAATTGCCACTGAAAGCTGGGGCACAGAGAGAAAGATTCAACTGCAACAAGACATTTTGTATTCCACAGTTTCCTGGCACACTGCTCTTATGCTCTGCTTTACAGCCATGACGTGGTTGTGGAATTGTAATATTCACGAGCGTGCTCAGGTTCCTTCTGCTGAAAGAAGTAAGAACTTAACAAACTATTCTTAACAAATATACTTCCTTAAAGACACTCTGATGATATTTTCATAGAATCACAAAATCACAGAATATGCTGAATTGGAAGGGACCCACAAGGATCATGGAGTCCCTCATGAGGAAGCTGCACTGCTGTGAGGTCTCCCTTCATCTCTCCTCCCACCCATTTTGGGTGGTTCCATTAGTTCCTGGCATGATTGTTACGTGCAGGAACACACCACTTACCGTCATCTTCCAAATCCCCAAACTGAGAATAATCAACTACTTTCCTGTTCCTGTGTCAAAAGAAAATATACACTATTAGTCCTTTCTGTCTGAGTATCTTGACTTGCTAACACTTCATTTTTGGGTAAACCAAGTTTTACAAGAAAAAAAGCAATACATGTTCAAAGGTAGGGAATAACAAAATCACAGAATACCCTGAGTTGGAAGGGACCCATAAGGATCATTGAGTCCAACTCCTGGCCCTGCACAGACACCCCAACAATCCCACCATGTCCCTGAGACCGTTGTCCAAACACTCCTTGAGCTCTGGCAGCCTTGGTGCTGTGCCCACTGCCCTGGGGAGCCTGTTCAGTGCCCAACCACCCTCTGGGGGAAGAACCTTTTCCTAATATCCAACCTAACCCTCCCTGACACAGCTCCAGCTGTTCCCTCGGGTCCTGTCACTGGTCACCAGAGAGAAGAGATGTGTATAACGAGTACTACTGTATAGAACAGGGTTAACAGGAATAGCTTCCAGATTTTTTAAAAATCTTAAAATAACAGCACTTTTTGTTGTCATATGGGAGCGTTGCATTGTCCTTATGGACACACTGCCTGTGAGCTGCTACTGTGCAATGGAAATTATTTATCTATGAGGTCACTTTTAGGCACTTGAAATGCTGCTGTCAGGGCAGGTGTTACTTGAGGGGACCAGAGGGGACAGAGCTTGGGATCCACCTGAGGGGTGCTCCCTGACAGGGACACAGACACACCAGGGAGAATCCCCATGCTTCACAGAATTACAGAATTTAAGGATGGGTCAGGTTGGAGGGGACCACAGTGGGGCATCTGGTCTCACCTCCCTGCTCCAGCAGGGTCATCCCAACGCACACGGCACAGGATTGTGTCCAGGTTGTTCTGGAATATCCCCAGTGAGCGAGACTCCACTCCCTCTCTGAGCAATCTGTTCAGTGCTCAGTCACTGCACAGCAAAGAAGTTCTTCCTCATGTCCAGCTGGAACTTCCTGGGCATCAGTTCCTGGCCTCTTGTGCCATTGCTGGGCACCCCCGAGCAGAGCCTGGTCCATCCTCTGCCCCCTCCCTGCAGACACTGACACACAGGGATGAGGTCCCCTCTCAGCGTCTCTGCTCGAGGCTGAACAGCCCCAGCTCCCTCAGCCTTTCCTCCTCAGGGAGATGCTCCAGTCCCTGAATCATCTCTGCAGACTCTGCTGGATCCACTCCAGGGGAGTCCCTCCTGTCCTGAGGAGCCCAGGACTCCAGATGTTCCTCACCATGGCTAAGTAGAGGGGCAGGATTACCCTCCTCGACCTGCTGGCAATGCTCTTTCCAATGCCCCCCAGGATCCCATTGGCCTTCCTGCCCCCAGGACACACTGCTGGCTCATGGATAGACTGTTGTCCACCAGGACCCCCAGGTCCTTCCCTGCAGAGCTGCTTCCCAGCAGGTCACCCCCAGCCTATAGAGGTGCCTGGGATTATTCCTCAGGTGCAGACCCTGCATTTGCCTTTGCTGAATTTCAGAGAGGTCTTCTCTCCCCATCTCACCATCCTGTCAAGATCCCTCTGAATGGCTGCACAGCCCTCTGGGATAGTGGCCACTCCTCCAGGCTTTGTGTCCTCACCAAACTTTCTGACGAGGCATCGACTCCTTCAGCCAAGTCACTGACAAACAAGTTAAACAACACCGGGCCCAGGATGAACCCCCTGCAGTGCTGCCTCCAGCTCTGGGGGCCCAGCACAGGAAGGACATGGACCTGTTGGAGCAAGTCCAGACAAGGGACACCAAGATGATCAGAGGGATGGAGCAGCTCTCCTAAGAGGAAAGGCTGAGAGAGTTGGGATTGTTCAGCCTGGAGAAGAGAAGGCTTTGGGGTGACCTAATTGTGGCCTTCCAGGACCTGAAGGGAGCCCACAAGGTAGATGGGGAGAGACTATTTCCAAGGGCCTGGAGTGAGAGGACAAGGGGCAATGGCTTCAAACGGACAGAGAGGAGGTTTAGATTGGATATTAGGAAGAAATTCTTCCCTGGGAGGGTGGGGAGGCCCTGGCACAGGTCGCCCAGAGAAGCTGTGGCTGCCCCATCCCTGGAAGTGTTGAAGGCCAGGCTGGATGGGGCTCTGAGCAACCTGGGATAGTGGAAGTTGTCCCTGCCCATGTCAGGGAGCGAGATGATCTTTTAAGTCCCTTCCAACCCAAACCATTCTTTGATTCTATCACTGAACCCCGAGGGACCCCACTAGCGACAGGCCCCCATCGGACCCAGCGCCACTGACCGCGACCCCCCGGGACCTGCCGCTCAGCCAGCTGCCAATTCCCTTCCAGCTGGAAAGGAAAACAGGGCCACCCTGGGAGCCACCCCAGGCCCCGAGAGCAGGCGGCGAGCCCTCCTTTCCTCCCGGCACACGCACCTCCTGCCCGGCCGCGCCATCCCCGCTCCGGGCGGGCGCTCCCGCCAACGCCGCTGCGCCCGCCCTTCCCCTTCTTCCCTCCCCTCCTCCCTCCCTCCCTCCCTCCAGAGGCGGCTTTCTCAGCACGTTCGCCACGGAAAAGAGCCGAATCTGCCTCTCCGGACGTGAAGCTGCGATGCCGGGGAGGCGGGAACACGCCGGGTCAGCACCTCCCCCGGCGGCCGGGTTAAGGCACCGCCCGGCCGGAGCAGGTGAGCCCGCGGGGAGGGGGACACGGGCGTGCGGCTGCAGCCCCAGCGCTTATCCCGGGAGCCTTCCCGGGGCTGGGAGAACGTGGAGGGGATCCCGCGGGCCGTGCCTTCCCGCTGCCGGCCTTGCTCCTGCTTTTTTTTTTCAGGAGCAGATTTGGGAAAGGGGGTTTGTCCCCGTCTGCCTCTCCGCCACCTCGTCACGCCCATCTCCTCTACCCCACTAAATCTCGGGGGACAGCAGGAAGACCTCGGTCAGGCTTGCGTTTCTCCCAGTGTTTTCCCTTTGAATCCAACTCCCAGAAGGGCGGGGACACCGCCTGGCTTTAGCATGGGTTGCCCCGAGGTGTTTTGTTTGTGTATCTGACCTGTCTCATCTATTTCCAACACGTGGATTTGTTCAGAAGAATATCCAGCAAAAAAACACAAACAGCAAAACAACTAAACGCCAAAAACTGATCCCATGAATTCTACTTTTTTTCCCCCTTTTTTTGCCTTCACCTTGGGCCGTGGTTTTTAGCACTGGGGAGGTTTCATCCGAAGCAATGTGTCCAGTTTTCCGGTAATGTCCAAAAAAGAGGGATGTGAATGAGCGGAGGAGCCCGAGAGGAGGGTAAAATTACGCACGCAGGTATGTCTTCCCATCCTGTATTTTCATTCTCTAGACAGCTCTCCTACATTTCTTTTGGATTTTGTTTTTTTAATAGAGGTTACAAAATGACAAAATAAACTCTAAAACTTATTGCAAACATCCGCTCTACTCCCCCCCAGCTGTGCCACCTGCACAAAAGAGGAAAGAAGACCTTCGTGCACTGAGAAGGGTTTCAGATTTTGAGACATCCGTGGCAGAAGTTAGAGTGTTTCAGTTAGTTTTCTGTTTATGAGGATTCCCATCAGTCTTGGTTGTGCCTTTAAGTCAGGAGACTTATGCTGTAATTTCTGAGAGTAATGACCCAAATTCATATAGTGATATAATTTAGAAATACAAATACAGTTTAGTAGCATTTGGTGTTTTGGAAACTGGGATTTATGCCCCAGTTCCAGCTGTATATATTTGGAAGTCAAAACTGAGGTGAGTATCTATGAAAATGTGGGGGATTAAGTTTTCGTGACAGAAGCTATAAATTATTAACAAAGCTATGTTTTTCTTATTTTACAAGAATGTAATTCTTGTTATTTTCATTTCTAGTGCAGGAAATCACCTCAAGAAGATGAAGCCTAATAAAGGAAAGACTTACACTCGGGAGAGAGACTATGTGTACACATTCAATGCTGGAAATGAACATTTCGTGCTCACTGTGCCTCTCAAATTCCCTGTGCAAGAGAATATCAGTCATTTGCACGGACGTCTGATGGTTCTGCACAACCTACCATGCTTTGTAGAAAATGGTATGAATCCATTTCTTGAATCAGTGTCACATATCTTTGTCCACAATTGTCTTGCAGCTTGCTTTAAGGAAAAAAAAAAAGGGTATTTTAGTAGAGCAGTGTTAAAAAAATGTTTTTTTAAACAGCAAAACGTCAAAGAAAATCACTGTCAGTGCAAACAAGTATGGTGGCCAAGAAAAAGGTTTTCAGAAAAACTATTTGTGTTTCTTAGATGATTACTGGTACTTCTGTTGGTGTGTTTTGTCGATGGACCATTCTCTTCTTGTTATACAGACCTGAAGCAATCTCTGAACAAGTTCATAGAAGAGGAAGCTATAAAAGATTACGATAGAAAAGCTGAAGTGGCTCTGGAAGCAGTGAAATCAGGAAAAGTAGACATCAACCAGCTGGCAGATACTTGGGCTAAAGCTTATAAAGAGGTAAGATTAAGGCTGGAAAGTTAATATTCAGGACTTGTTTTGTGAGAGTGAGTACAGACAGAAGAGGCAAAATTACAGTGAAATTCACTTTTACTGATTAATTCATACAGTTTTTTATGTGAACGTGAGCATTATGTCCTCATCCTACAAGTTCTGCATCAGGGTTTTCTTGAATTTAGTAGATTCAAAAGATACAAAATGAGGAAGTAAAGGGCTAGTTCATTTACCAGTTGATATTCAAACAAAAATAGGCATTAGGGTTATAGTGCATTAGAATTAAAGCAAGAGTGGTGTTTTTAAATTCAATTAAAGTGGTACTCCTGTATCTCAGTAGTAGCAATGAAGGCTATAAAGTGTACAATTGAGTGCAACCTTTTAGCTCATTTTTTGAGTTCATGTGACTCTTTTACATTATTTAGGAATGATGAGGCTTTAGCTGGAATAAGGTTTCCAGTTCTGCATGTGATCTTCAAAATAGTGGAATGGGAAAGAACTGGAGGGGTCCTAGTGAAGGCAAAGAAAGAGTTGCAGTACTGCAGAAACTGCAGTATTTGAGGAAAAGTTTGTAGGAATTGAGTTTGCTTCTCATGGAATGTAGAAAAACGTTGGGAAAAATTTCATAAAGAGCTTGCAAAACTGGCACCTTTGGGCCAGTCTTTGTTCAATAAAAGTAGCTTTTCTTAAATCACTGTTGTTAATCAAATTCTTAGTGACATCAGAGGTTAGTTATCCTTGCTAGCAAAGCATTTTTGTTTGCATAGCTGGTCTTTTGGGCCTTGTCTAAAATTCATCAGTTGCAAATACTGTGGACATTGCTGTTCTTTGCAAGTTGGTGTTGTGTGAAGATTCCTAAGTCCTCCCTGTAGTGCAAACCTTAGTGATTCTGCCTTCAGTTGCTTTGAATAAGAAATGGAAAAGGAGGAAATTTAAAGCTAAAGTAGAAAGTTTAAATTAGGAGAGAGAACGTACGTGTGGTAAAAGCTGCGTGTGCCCACTTGGTTTTGCCCCACCATTATGAGGGATCCTTGTATGTCCTAAAAGGTACCATGTGCTTTAAAATCTCTTTAAAATTCTTAGACAACGTTAGAACATGCCAGACCTGAAGAAACCAGCTGGGATGAAGATTTTGCAGATGTTTATCATGATCTGATACATTCTCCAGCTTCTGAAATGCTGTTAAACCTGGAGCACAATTATTTTGTCAGCATCTCGGAATTAATAAGTGAAAGGGATGTGGAACTGAAAAAACTACGAGAAAGGTATTCCTTTTTGTAATTTTTATGTTTTCTTCTCTCTTATTGCATGTCAGTGGGTGTATAAACTTTTAGGACAATACGTCAACTTGTATTTGTTATGTGTAAACACTAAGTACGAGAGCATGTAGTGAGGGGAGAAGGGGGAATGTCTTCAAACTGACAGAGAACAGGTTTAGATTGGATATTAGGAAGAAATTCTTCCCCTGGGAGGGTGAGGAGGCCCTGGCACGGGTTGTCCAGAGAAGCTGTGGCTGCCCCTGGATCCCTGGAAGTGTTGAAGGCCAGGTTGGACAGGGTTTGGAACAACCTGGTCTAGTGGAACGTGGCCCTTCCCATGACAAGGGCATTGGAGAGAGATATCTTTAAGATCTCTTCCAACCCACACCATTCCGTGATTCCATGATTCATTAGGGACAGCTGTCTTATATTACTTTGATGGCCTTAGCTTTTATTATTTTCAATGACCAAGTTTTGATTTCTGTTGTTCTAACCACCTTTTAAGTGTTAAAGGGCTTAAGAAATAAAGAATATGAAAAGATAAGCAGAAGACTTGAGGCAGCTATAAATCAGAAACTGTTGAATTTGAATCCCGAGTTCTGGAATAAGTTTGGATAGCTGCAGGTGGTGACTTTTTTGTCCACAAGAGGGAACACATACAGTGTTTTTCTTTTCCTGCCAGAATACTCTGAGTAGGTGTGTTTGAGCATTCTGAGTGGCAATACTCCTCTTCAACTGTGTGTGTTCAAGCTCACATTATACAATGCACATCTGTTCATATGGTTTCTCCGAGACTGAATTGTACATATTTCTGATTTGGGGATAAATGTTGCCAGTAATGGGTTTGTAAACTTTTTTGCTCCTTATTGGCTCTTCTCAAATGTGAAGGAGCAGTAATGTTTTAGAGCTCAGGTGTGATGCAACTGTGTATTGACTCTGATGGAATTTATCAGATCTATTTGTCATAACCAGGAATCTCCCTATTCTGGTGGCAGCTGAGAGAGTCCCAAATGAGTGTAGGTTGTTGTTTTGTTGACAGAGGAGCTGACTTGGAATCCCTGATCTTTAACTCTTAATTTGTTTTGTGGATATTCATTGCTAAATCTGGGAGTGATATAAACTATTCATTCTACCACTACTACTACTACTCTTATCACAACGAAGGGTGTTCTTCTGCCAGGTTTTTGAAGTCTATGTTTCTCATCTCTTTCAGACAAGGAGCAGAAATGGATAAGGTGATGCAGGAGCTTGGGAAATCACTGACTGACCAGGATGTGAATTCCTTAGCAGCTCAGCATTTTGAATCCCAGCAGGTAAACTGAGGTCCAGTGAACTAGAACACATCATGCACGTAAATGTCTTGAAAAGAAAACCCAAACCACTCAAACTATCACTGTTATCTTGTCAGGATTTGGAGAACAAGTGGACTAATGAATTAAAACAGACTACTGCTATCCAGAAGCAGGAATATCAGGAATGGGTGATAAAGCTTCATCAGGACCTAAAGAATCCCAACAACAGCTCAATCGGGTATTTAATTCCTCTGTGATCCTTACTTCCACCTGTAATAGTTCAAAGGACTTGCATTTACGTAATCTTTTAAATAGAATAATATAATCCTATTAGGGTCATTATAGTATCTATATAAACATTTAAATAGGGTAATCAAAGCAAATCAAAGGCAAATAAACCACCATAATTAAATGTCTATATTACTAGGAGTTTCTTCATTATGTAGTGCTATAACCTTTCAGTATCAGAAAGTGTTGTACTGCACTGATATACAACTTGAGCTGGATGGAATTTCCTCCTATTTTGCCTTTATTTCCTATGTCTGTCTTTAACACTGTTTCATAAGGCTTTTTGTTATCAGTTAAGTATGTTCTGTAGAATAATGATGACTCGATACCATAATAAGTGTTATAATGGTAACAATATCACACTTTTGGAATTAATAAACCACTTGATGTGTACATCTCTGGGCAGCTAAAAAAATGGCATATTTTAGTGTGAACACTTGTGGAGAGGGTGGATTGAAAATCCTTCTGTTTGAGAAAATAGCAGGGAAATTAGAATTTGTAAGGGGTGGGGGGGATCCTTAGTCTTTATCGCTAGTAACCACCACCTTTGCTACTAACAGGAAAACAGAAGGAGTAAAACCTGATGCTTTCTTATCCCTCATGTTGGTAGAAGAGCCAGTCTGATGGTGGACACAGTAAGGAATTTATGGGAAACACCACCTTTGAACAAAGTGGCTGCCAGGGATAAGAGGAGACAGGATGGATTGTAATGCATGAAACACTTCTTTGCTTTCCCATAAGTGTTTCCTTTTGGGATAAGGAAACTGAGCGTATGGAGCATGAGGGAAGAGAGAGAGGAGAGGAAAGATGTTGGAAGATTGTGCTGTATGTTTAGCTTCCTCGCTGCTTTCCTCAGGATATTATTTTTTTGTCTGTGAATTCGTGTTTTGGAAGTTCTTGTGCAGTTCTGAGGTTAGTCCCAGAATGTCCTAGGACTTCACAGCTCACAAGCAGTTTGGCCACATTCTAATCCAGTGATTCTAATCCCTGCAGACTGTGCAGGCTCTAAACCCAGCCCTCAAATATTTTTCCACAGAATTTTCATGTTGGCTCTGTTGATTTATTTCCGTGAGGCTCTAAAGATAATGAAATTGCAAAGGCTGTTCGTACTTGACAGCGTGAACCTCTTTCCAGGTTCTGGCCTTCTTATTTTACTGCTGTAAAATAAGACCAGAGTGAGGTTGCTTGGAGCTGAAAGCTAGAACTGGAATGCTGGAATTCCAGAGAGACAGTAAGGATGTCTCAGCTTCATAATCTTGAGTGTTTATTGTAGATGTGAAGTGATGGTGTTTTAATCATTGCACTCTCATGCAGTGGCAGAAAGGGGGATCTCTCTGCTTGTGTTCAGTTTTAAAAACTACAGGTCCTTAATGCATTTGAAAATAATGCACAGGAAGTCTGTAACAGGTCAACTAGAGAGAGAGAGAGGTGTGTGTGTTACACACGTATAGACATAAAAGAGAGAAATACACATATATTTATGCATTATTATATTGCTTATATGTGTGTATATGTATTTATCAGTGGTATATTTCAGTCCTGTCTCATCACTAGGCATTTGCAATGTTTATAAAACACCTTTGTAAGTTTATAAAACACCTTTGGAGATGAAGCATTTTGAAAACAGAGAGAAACATTTCATTGATGCAGACTCAAATTGAAGAGATGTTCATGTTATTTCACACAGCATCAACAGCACTTATTGCATCACTACCAGACAGCTGAACTTAGGGAAAAAATTGAAACTGATATCTGAAAAATTTCCTTGTAGGTTGAACACTGTGGAACATTTGATAAGGCTTTTTTTAACCTCCAGTTTTGTGTGGGGAGAAAAAAGAAATGCTTTATCTGATAACTTCATAAATAAGTTTTTTGCTATTATAAATAGGCTGAGAAGATTTTTTTTTTTCCCTTTTATTCCTGCATTCTTATTTTGTTATAAAACCTATTTTTATTTCTCAGTCTTGGAATGCTTTACAAATGAGCCAAATCATGTAAATCTAACAGTGGAGTCTACTCTCCCTGCTGCCAGGAAGGTAAAGATAAAGCCCCAGATTAGTGGAGTTCGTGGAGGTTTAGTGTCCTGGTTTCCACAGACCAGCTGAGAGAACTTTAGATAACTTTCACATAGTTGTTGGTCTTGAACGAAAAATCAAGGATAAACTTCTCATTATGTATGTTTCTCATTATTTTAGTGATGAAATTAAGGTTCAGCCCAGTCAACTGAGAGAATCTGTGGAAGGAAATGGAAGAATTTATGAAGAACAAAGGCTGTTAGAAGAAAGCTTTACTATTCACTTAGGTAAGTGGAGTAAACTGACCCCAAAACTAAACATAGGAGGTGCTTATAAATAATGTATCTAAGCCATGTATTGTTTGCAGTATTTAATTGTCAATGTATATAATGTACAATTTGTTTTGTATTTGTTCTTTACTTGTGTAAGAGAAGAATAGGATGGTATAAACTGTATCAAGCATTATCTAGCTATCTGAAATGTACTTCACAGAAGACATCTCTAGAAGTAAGTCTTTATCCACTTTAGCAAGGTGACTCATGTAGAAAAGCACAGTAACATCAAAACCCATAGTGCTTAAAAATGATATTTTAACTTTTCTTGGCAAGAAAACTGTTTCTGGTTAGGAAGATGTGGTTATCAAACTCAGTTCTCATGCTCAGTTAACAGAAGAATAGATACTTAAAATTTGCATTTTTTGTTTGTGCAGTAGAGACTTCTTGTGCTGTTTTGACCTTGTTATGTGGCTTAAAAAATCACCAGCAAAGGCATCAGCCAAAGCAGTTTTAATATAAATTTGCAAAAGAGCAAAAAGGTTCAAAGGCAAGGTTCACTCTATTGCTTACTATGTAGATTAAGCACACAAAGGAAAATTGGATTGTAATCAATCTAAAATGATTTAGGCAGAGATAGGCAGTGACAATCCTCCAAGTGTCTCAAACCTCAGAGGTTGCCAGCTCTGAGAAGCTTCTCTATAAGAGGGAGATGCCAGTGCATCTTGCTGGGGTCCAGGAGAGCTCAAAGACATCCCTTAGGACCGCTATCCATAGGGTCATAAGATGATTGGCTTTAGTCATCTGTAAAATTTTCATCCTCAGTTTGGTAATTACTGGGGTTTCCAAAACTCCAGCAGCAATGGTACCGTTCCTCTCAGGCCATGGTTCAGGTAGAGAGTGTTTCAAGGCTGTCAGGGATGACTGATGATCCCTGCTCTTGTCCTTCACCTCCGTGCAGCTCCCACTTCAGCAAGACTTCCTAGGATGGTCAAGGGATGCCTCACCTTTACACTCATGACACAAACACCAAGGCCCGCCGGGGATTCCTGAGGTTGTAGAGTGGTTCTAAGGAAGGGGGGAGAGGATACACCACCACACACTAGTATTGAATCCGTAGCCTTACAGTATTCCTCAGGAAAAATTTCTTCATGGAAAGGGTGGTCAAGCACTGGAGTGGGCTGCCCAGGGAGGTGGGAAGTCCCCAGTTTGGAGATGTTAAAGGAAAGACTGGATGTGGCACTCTGGCCTAGTTGACAAGGTGGTGATTGGTCAAAGGACTTGATGATCTCGGAGGTCTTTTCCAACCTAAATGATTCTGTATTAGGGAACAAGGCTCATTTCAGGTGTGAACAAGCCTTGCTTTGTGACAGCATGTGAAAATACTTTACTTTGAAAATACCAAACTGCTGATACGTCTGTGAAACTGAATATAGGATTAAGAACTTTCTTTGAGTGGTGTTGGTTATAACTCCCTCACAGATCTTTTTCAACAAAACTTAGGGGAGCACTTTGATCCCTTGCATTTTAATCACAATCCTGAGTTTTGTCTTGTACTGTGTGTATTGAGCTGTGTGTGTTCTGGGCAGGAGCTCAGTTGAAGACCATGCACAACTTGAGGTTGCTGAGAGCTGATATGTTGGATTTCTGCAAACACAAGCGCAACCATCGAAGTGGAGTGAAGCTTCACAGGCTTCAAACTGCAATGTCTCTCTATTCAACTTCTCTCTGTGGCATGGTTTTGCTGGTGGACAACAGGATCAGTTCATACAGTGGGATCAAAAGAGGTGAGATTTCCCTGGGGGTGTGTCATTTAAAATCTTGCTGTCTTCTTCCACAAAAAAATAGTCCTTGTAATATTAAAATTTAGTGGAGACCCTAATGTAAAATTTAACTTTAGTGGAGACCTTAGTGTTTTGGATACGGCCTTGCAAAAGGGTAACAAATGCAAAAAGAGTCATGGATAAGGGTGGAGGACAGTGTTGTGCTGTTACCCCTCTCATCTCTTGCTTAGGTTTTGTGTTTGAGTGAGGAACATGCTGGAGAGGACATTTCAATGTTGATTTTGCTGCCTTAGACTGACTTTTTATAGGGGCTTCTCACTCTCTAATATCAGATTAGCACACTGAAACCTGTTTGCAAAAATGAAAAGAGAGTATGCTAAGGTGATAAGTAAATGTATAAAAATGCCATGTGCTTTTCATAGCATGAATTCCAGTAAAAATGAACAACAGCAATATTACTTCCAGGTCTATTCCTGGAAAGCTTGATTAGTAGCCATTTGAAGTGCATGTCTTTTGAGGAACTGGACACTATGATGAAGGTGTTTTCTATCAAGGTTAACCAGCTGAAGGTGTGTTTGTTCCTGTTCTGATTTTGGTCACCAGGACTTTCTGTGAATCACATTGCTGACCTTCCCACCTTGGTCTGGAAGTTCAATTCCAAAATATTCACACTTGGAATGTCTTTTTTATGACTGGAACCACTATTACTTGTCATTATTCCAGCATCCCATAAAAAAAATATACTTTGGAGGTTGATGTTCCCTGGAAACAGTGTGGAATCAGGCTTGTAGGAAGACAGAAAGGGAAGTGTACCAGTAAAAATTGCAGTTGCATTTGTGCTGTTTATGGTTCCCAAGCTGTTTAATTATAACGGTATTATTTCATACTTACTTGCAGTTACTTTTTCTACTGCTTATATATTTAAATGAATAACAAAAGCAGATCTGTTTTTATGCTAAATTTTAGGTGATAAGACAGACATTTAAGTAATACCCTTTTAAACAAAATTGCGTCTCCCAACCACCAAGGAGATCCTGCAGCCACAGTAAAGGAGCAAAATATGGACCATATCACAATCTGTAAAATATAATCCTCAATAACTTTGGATTTCTTTGACTTCTGAAGGGACTCTCTCAAACCTCTAAGAATGGTTTCTTTATATACTTTATGCCTTGCCTACCTCAAGTGTTTTATTAGAGCTTTTTAAGGCTACTGTGGCTCACGTTTGGAGTAGTTGTAGTGCACCCAGACAAATTATGAATTAAAATTAAAGTTAATTTAAGTACAATTTATTTGCTTTCAGCTGATGTCTTCTAGCCTTATTTTACTTTGATGCACACAGAAAACACACTCTTTTGGAGTATCAGCTTTTTTCTCCCTTGGTTTTAGACACCAGAATTTAATAAAGCCTTTTGAAAATAGTTTTTAAGATGGAGATGTCATGCAAAAAGATAAGATACATTAAGATTTTTCTGTCTACTCTGCCTGTTCTTGTCACCACCTGTTCATAGGAATATATGGTGCTCTCCAGACAGGCAGAGCATATTAAGAAATTAAAGGAGGATTAGAGCAGATACTCCAAAATGGGAAGTAAGTAGGAATTGCTTAGTTTTTATGTTGGAGATTTCATGTAAAAAGATGAACCTCTTTGCTGAAGACTTGTTTTGGCTCCTGTTGACTTCCTTGGAGAGACAACGGGACATTAGCATAAGGAGTTTAGAATACCAGTCACATTGTGATCCTAATTATCAGTACAATATTTCCAAATCTGACGTAATACCTTCTTTATCAGGAAAAGGAACTCATAGCTCTGTGTAGCTGATGACACTTTTCTTTAGCTTTCAAGATCTGTGTTTTGAGAACTGAAAGGAAAGAACCGTAATTCCAGCTTTCCAGATACACTGTTTAAGAATTTCATTAATAGCTCTCATTTTTCAAAACAAACTGGAATGTTATTGTTACTGTAGGAAGTATCTATTACGTATGTTTTAATAAAGTGTCACAGATTGAAAGACTGTTAGTAACAAGGTATCATTTTTAAAGCACAACTACATTTAATGCTCATATTATTGCTGTTATTTTGGGGTTTTTTGTGGTTTTTTTTTCTGCTCTGGCTGGTTTTGTTTAAAGAGCAGCAACACTAAAGGTGTTGAATAAATAATCCTTTGGTTTTGGTTTTTTTTCCGAGCATTTAATTTATTTCAAAAAATATTTTGTTCCTCTCCAAATTTTTTTTAGAAATTGAAAAGGGGTGCAGCAGGGCTTTGTCTGCTTTTGAGGGGGTTGACTTTGTAGCTTTGTAGCCTTGCTTGAACAGTAGAGTAGAATTATGTAATGGTACCGAGCACAACCTGATGACGCGGATTATAATCTTATTTTTTTCCTAGATTTTGCAACTGTTTGCCAAGAATGCACGGATTTCCACTTTCCTGGAATTCAAGAGCAGCTTGAAATTGTCCAGAAAGTTGTACTTAAGGCCCGAGCACAGCGCAGCAGTAAGTCGAAAAGGCACCATGGTTAGTGACAACCAAAATTACTTTCCTTGAAATAGAACAGTGGGCAGCTGGATGTTTGTGGGCAGGGGCAAATTGATTCCACTCTTCTGCAGCTACCTCATCTATAAAATTGGGATGTTTGGGTTTAGCAGTAAACCCTGAGACTTCTGCATGAAATTCTCTTTTCATGAAAGTCTCTCTTTGCTGCCATAATAGTTATAATTTTACTGAAACCCAACATATAAGTCATTAGGTTCTGATTGCATTTTAACAGCATGGGAAGTGTATCAGGCTTTCCTCTGCAGTTTAAACTGCCTGTAGCAACACAGACTTTATCTGGTTACATTTTATTTCTATTTAAATTTAAATCTTTAAAAATAGCAGGAGAGGAGTTATGACTTTTTCCCCTTCCTTTAAAGTGAATGCTAAAAATTCAGTAACAAATTGACTAAATGTGTGTACCTTTTAGTGCTCACCAGATCTTTGTGAATGATTTCCTTTGCAGTTGTATTTACAAATGGCTATGAAATGTTCTGACCACGTGGTGTTTGTACATCCCAAAACTTTGTTTTTCTTTTCTTTTCTTTCTTTGTTTTTCTTTGTTTTTCAAAGAGCTACCTGTGTGATTTAAATATGTCAGGAACGTGAACAAATTCATAGGAGTACATAGAAAACCAGGTTTTCTTGGGAATATTGCATTATTCTTGGGAATATTGCTGTAGTCTTGAGGGAAATAGTGAAAGCTGTTTTTATGTAAATGCCGCTGATTTTTGTAAATCTATTAGGAACAAATTTGTTAAATTTGTTACACCATTTAAAGTGTAATAGGTGCTATGTAGTTGTGGGGGCAATTTGGAAAGTTCAGTATCATGGATGAGAAATTGTGTTTTATTTTGTCCAAATGAAGAGATATATAGAATATGATAAGAAAGTCAATAATTTGAGGTAGGATTCAGTTTGGTGTGTCTTGAAGGCAACAAAAACACTTCTGTCCATCCCCCTTCTTTTGGGGGACTTTATGGTAAAAATTCAAGCCAAATATCATCTTAGTACGTCAAACTTTTGTGCTAAAGTGTGATTAATAGAGGATCTATTTAATGTTGCTGCTGTGTGTTTATGTACAGAAAACAAAATGAGTGGAAATGAAGATAAATTAAAGAATATTGAACGAAACCAGTCCAATATTTTGCCGGGTGAGTTGTGTTGCAGTGACCCCCCCCTTCTTGAAGCAAGTTGTGTTCTATACATGCACATTTTTAGCTCTAAAGTCAGAGCATGAATTATAAACTAAACCCAAGTTGACCTCAATCAGAGGAGAAGGATGTTCTTGTGGCTAAGGCAGAGAACTGGGTGTCAGGACATCTGGCTTCTATTCCCAGCTTTGCCATTGCATCATGTGACTTGGGGCAAATCACTTCTCTTTGCCTAAAATTTCTTTTCAGAATTTGAGGGTGAAGAAAAAAAAGATCTCTGAGCGTCTTGGGGAAAAGATGAAACTGAAATACCAGCAGCTAATTTTATTTTTGAAAATAACTTGGTGTACATCACTATTGCAATGCAGAAAAGCACTTTAGGGTATGTTTTTTTAACTTGGGAATGGAGAAATCCATTCACCTCAGAGAAAGTATCTATATCCTGATGTTTAGTAATGAAAGCTGCTGTGGAATTTGAAGATGAATACATGATTGTTTGCAAACAACTCTGCAACTCATCTTCCCATTCTTATGAATTATTTTAAATTCTAATGATCACTGATGCCTTCGTCTTCCAGTATCATATCTCAGTTGTTATGTAACCCACTATCTGTTTCCACATCCTTTATTTGAACCCATCCATTTTTGGTATTTCCTCCTCCCACATCTGTCTGCAATTTAGTGCTTGCATTGTGTATTTTGAGTATTACACCTCCTCTGTGTTTGTTTTGCTGCTTCTTACTATATATAGATCATATCCGCCTGTGCTGGCACTGTTGTGTTATTACACCACATGTCCATGATGCCACTGGAACCATCAAAGCAGGAAAATGAGTGTAGGATGAATGTAAAACAGTGATGTTCCAAGCGATTTTAGATCACTTGGTTCCTAACCTTTTTTTTTTAATCTCCCTGTGTATGTCTTCCCATCTCTGCTGTATATTTCTATTTGACTTTTATCTTGAATGACCCTGTCCTTACATTGCCTAACAAGGGGATTTCATGCAGATCACCACCGTGAGATCTTGGTTTGTGTTATTCTGCAGGAGAATTCTACATCACACGCCATTCCAATCTGTCTGAAATCCATGTTGCTTTTCACCTGTGCGTGGATGACAACGTGAGGTCTGTTAATGTGACTGCTCGGGATCCTGCAATCATGGGGCTCAGAAACATCCTCAAAGTCTGCTGCACACACGACATCACCACCATCAGCATTCCTCTCCTGCTGGTGCATGAAATGTCAGAAGTAAGTCCGTGGAAAGGTTTGGTTTGGTTTTATATCCTTGGGTGCAACCGAAGTGATTTTTGCAAAGGGCGTGTTTCGCGCTGGTTTAAGCCAAATGGGGATGGTCTATCTCAGTCACATACCATTGTCCTGGCACTTGGATCTGTGTGGTGACCCAAGTAAAGGAACTGAACCAATTAAAAACGTTTCAGCCAGCTGTATCACCTGGAGTTGTTATTCCCACCCCTCATTTTGGACACTTCACTTCCTGGATCCAGATAGTTGCACAGTTGTACAAGTATTAATGAAAGGTGGAGTCTTGTGGCAGCAGTTCTTGCTTAGGACCTGTACCTTCAGACTTGCTGATGCAGCAGTGATACCAGATCCCCAGTTTTCACTGTCATTAGCTATAAAACCTGAAAACTAAGTTTTAGGAGCTGCCGATCTAGCAAAGCTCAGCTTAGAGTTCTGTATCCCTACAACACCACTCTATGGCACCTCAGCCCTACACAACAGCAACCAGATTTCACCTTTACTTTGAACTCTCTCCTTCTTCACTGTCTAATCAAGATCATCCTTAAATTTCGTCCCTTTTTCCTCTAAGTCCTCCCAGATGCCAGCTGGGCAAGAGGCAGCATATTGCTGAGGCTTTTTGTGTTCTTACCTACTGGGCTGAGTTCTGTCTTATTTTCTTTAGTGGGATTCTGATGTAGAGCTTGTCTCTCAGTCAGTAACTTTTCACAGTGCCCAGTAATTTAAAACTGTTGGCAACCTCTTTTCTCTGTCACACCTGGCTCAGAAGACGCCAGCAGAGAAGAAAAGGGGGTGGGAAGGCAGGGAGAGAAGTGATGGACAGGCAGCACAGCCATATCCTTAAGAGGTGGAAAGTCTATAAACCTAAAGAAATGAGAAAAAAAAGATAATTTTGCCGACCATGCCAGGGTATCAATGGTAATTATAGTTGATTGTAGGTTTTTTTTAAATAATCCTTTGATTTTTCACTTGTAATTTCAATATTGCCTTTACTTCTTGGGAAGTGCCTGAGTCAAAGCAAGGTAAAGGCTCATGAGAGGATTCCCTTAAACAGTGACTGGTTTTGTAAAAGAATTTGACTGGAGCACAGTGTAGAAGTGGCCCCCCCTTTTGCGGGATCAGGGTCAATTATCATGAAAAATCAAGCAATGCAAAAGGTAAAAATGTTGGAAAGTGAAGCTTCTAAAGGATATACTCCCATACAGAAAAGCAGACTTTTAGGAACAGATGGAATTAGTTCTGAAATTTGTATCAAGTCCTTTGTTTTGGGCACAAATGCAAGTAATCAACATGCAGGGCAGGAGTGTGGGTCATTCATGGGACCCAGTTGCTGTGTTTCACAAATTCATTGACCTTTTTCTTAGCCAAGTTGCCATCTGACTATATTCTTCTTCTTTTGTTTTGTTTAAACTTTGTTAGTTTTAGCTTTTATTTGCATTTTATTTATCTGTATTTTAATATACAAATAAAGCAGAAGACCAAGTGTTCATCATGTCTTGAGAATGTGTGAAACTGAAGAATAATCTTCTTGTCTAGTGCAGGATTCTTTAAAGGTCCTGATAAAACAATTTGTGTTTTATATGAAGTTGTAAGTCTTTGCAGAGTAAGCAGAAAGTGGCGTATATAATAAGTGTATGTTTAGGCAAAACTGCCTTGTGTGACTTGCATTGGCAGCATTGCTTATTACAGTGCTTTGCAGCTGGCTGACCTCATTTGAAACACACAAATATGTGACTTCTTGGTGAAGGAAAAGTGAATAATGACAGATTTCTGAAAGCTCAACCTGAACTCTGTGCCTTTAGCGGCCCCAGTTCTGAATCTGTGTTTACCACCTACATAAAAACATTTTTGTAAAGTGGTTAACCAGGAGCCCAGCTGCAGAGATGTTTCACCCTGACAGGCATTAATTAGGAGTGTTCTCTGTGCTTTCTTTTATGGTTGGAAGGTTATAACCTCAGAGAAGTGATCACAGAATCACAGAATGGCCTGGGTTGGAAGGGACCTTAAAGATCATCTAGTTCCAGCTTCCTGCTGTGGACAGAAACACTTTCCTCTAGACCAGGTCGCTCAAGGCCCCATCCAAACTGGCCTTGAACACTTCCAGGGATGGAAATTGTTTCTCTCTGATCACTGTTAGGAATCTAATATAAACTGTCATTGCTAAAAATGCCAGAGCTGGCACAGTTCCTTGGTACTTCCAACACAGGAGCCATTGCTGTTGTCCCACCCAGCAACAGTGACAACACTGGGACTCTTCAGGGATCTCAGGCAGTTGTCTCTGTTACCATAAGTTAAGACAAAAATGATTTTTAGAAAAATAGAAATGAAGGGAGTATAATCTGGGTAACAAATATTTATGAACATGGTTTATGTATACAGAGAAATCAGTGGTGGGTTTGTTAACCTCAAATATTTCTTGTCTGAGTTTTCCCCCTCTAAATGTGCAGCTGCTCTTACAGTGTTTAGAATTTGCAGATATACTTCGATTAAAAATCTTGCTAATTTTAACTTAACAAAATTAACCATTGAAATTTGGTTTGAAATCTTTGTCCCACAAGATGTTTATGGACTTTACTGTTTTCCTTACCTGATTATGATGTGGCTCTGCAAAAGCATAAGCCCTTAGTTTTTTTAAAAGCAGCAGCCCCATGTAGTGAACCTGTCAAAAATTAAATGAAAAGAAAATATTTTGTAGCATTTCTTTCTAATCAATGAAGCTGGTCTCCCTCCCTCCCTTTTTTTTTTTCTACATGAGGAGAAGAAATCTTAATTTGACAAAATCATTGCATCCTAAAAGGGAGTGAGGTGTGGTCTGCTAGTGAACAACATCCAGAATTCCAGGTGTTTTTTTTGCTTGCTTGAATGCTATTAACCAAAACTCACTATAGGAGATGGGCTGTTTGCTTTTTTACTTCCTGTGTTCTGCACTGTGTTTTGAATTGGTACTTAAATGATCATCGTTTTTGCAACTGTTACTTAGTCTGCACATAGAGAAAAATCCCGATAATATGGCAAATTCATGAGAACTTACATTGTTAAAGATGGATTAGAAATGAATCACTGCGACATCATTTTCAGTTCCTGTGGCTTTCATGGAGTGACATTCTGAATTCAACCTGTTATTTCCCTGAGTGCCCACAAAATTTAACATCTGTGTTCCTCTAAAACAGTCCAAGGAATAGTGTCATATCCTGCTGTTTCAATCAATCCTTTTAAGGCTTAGTTCCCATCAGTAATTGCACAAGGTAGTCCCAAGAGAGAACTTTTCTTCTTAGTCACTTATTTTTTTACCCAAGCCAAAACAGAGATCAAAAACAACAATAAACACCTAAATTATTGTGACAGAAAGCACATATGGGCAGATAAGTTATAATAAAGACCAAGTGTTTCTTCTAAAAAGCTTAGAAATTAAAAACCCCCAAACCAATACTTGTTCAGCATTGTTCTGATTAATGTGTTGAATACCCTAAAAGCAGCATCTATTGATACAGTGATTTACATAATGAACATTTTCTGAAAAGACATTTTTAACTTACGCTGTTTCTAACATATTGTGTATTTTGGGGAGGGCAGGGGATACTCCCACCTAAGTAGGAATTTTGGCCACACATTCAGTTTATTGCTTCAGTGTTATCATTCTTAGATAACCTTCCCTCTCAAATAACTTTCTTTAATCCTGAAATTAAGCTCTTTGATAATGGCAGATTGCAGTGTTTGACATTGCAAAATAAAGGCTGGCTTTTTTTTTTTTTTTTTTATGAATAGAAAATGATGTAAAGCTTACATTTGAAAAGGTACCTGGAAAGATAAATTGGTTTCCACGTCTCTATTCCTGTATTCAGACTAGGAAGTGCTCATCTTCATCTTGAGAGTACATCTGAACAAATAGACACTGTTTTCTTTCTGAGAAGCGTTTACAGTGAGTCATTCTGTCTCTGACTAGGAATATTCAACCAAAGAATCTTTAATGTATGAGATTATTTAAACTGTTAATTTAAATTATTTAGTCCAATACTTGTAGCCATATCTTAAACACATGTGGTTTGCATGCCACGTTTTGCTGTTGAACTTTAGGTAAGGATTTGCTCTCTGTTATATCTGAAACTCCTTCATCAGATGAAGATGAATTTTGTTTGTTTTTACTGTTAACATAAATGCAGTTTTAGTGGAGAAGGGCTTCTTCTAGTTCCAGTATTAGACAGAAGGTTTTGCTGAAGGCTGTGGGTCTGCCAAGTAACCTTCACCAAAATTATCAAGAACAGATAGAAGTCGTTATGCTGTTAAGATGTGGTCAGGAGCCTGGTTTTGACTAGCTGAAGCATGAACCTGATATTTAGCAGTTCAATATTCGACATTTTCGTGCATTTTCCTGTATAAAAGCGTTCTGACATTGGGGTCTCTTACCAATAAGCAGTGGCAGTGCTTTTATGGTCTCCTGTAAGGTATATACCACCTGCCCAGAACACTCTGGAAAAACTCAGTCTGTAATGCTGCAGGAAAAATGAGGTTCTGCAACAAAAATATATTACTTTTAAAAATTTCCCTGCCACTCTTGTTGGTTAGATCCATTGTGCACTGAGGCTTTTCTTTTATTCATTTTTAGGAAATGACCATTCCATGGTGCTTGAAGAGGGCGGAGCTCGTGTTCAAGTGTGTCAAAGGTATGTCAGTGAATGCTTTGGTTGGGTTTTGGTTTGTGTTGCATTTGGTGACATCCACTCTCAGCTCAGGCTGTGTATTTTACTAAAAAATTAAAAAGGTGTTTTTCAAAATTTGTCATTTGTTAAACACACTTATATTTTTTCCTTTGAAACTATTAACTGTCATACCAGGAAATACTCTCAGACACTTAGAGTACCGAGATGAAAAATGTTTCAGAAGGATCTTTACAACTTAAACATAGAGAAGAAAAAGTGCTTATTACTGCTTTGAGAAGTTTCTGAACGAGGGCAAGAGCTGCTGTTGCAGGTGAAGGGGGGATTCTGCCCCCCAGCTCTGGGGAGACCCCCCTGCAGTGCTGCCTCCAGCTCTGGGGGCCCAGCACAGCAAGGACATGGAGCTGTTGGAGCGAGTCCAGAGGAGGCACCAAGGTGATCAGAGGGATGGAGCAGCTCTGCTGTGAGGAAAGGCTGAGAGAGTTGGGATTGTTCAGTCTGGAGAAGAGAAGCTTTGGGGTGACCTAATTGTGGCCTTCCAGGACCTGAAGGGAGCCCACAAGGTAGATGGGGAGAGACTATTTCCAAGGGCCTGGAGTGACAGGACAAGGGGGAATGGCTTCACACTGACAGGGAGGAGGTTTAGATTGGATATTAGGAAGGAATTCCTCCCTGTGAGGGTGGGGAGGCCCTGGCACATGTTACCCAGAGAAGCTGTGGCTGCCCCATCCCTGGAACTGTCCAAGGCCAGGTTGGATGGGGCTCTGAGCAACCTGGGCTAGTGGAAGGTGTCCCTGCCCATGGCAGGGGATTGGAACTGGATGATCTTTCAGGTCCCTTCCAACCCAAACTAGTCTATGATTCTATGATTCTTTAATTTCCAGTGCCCTTTGTATTTTGATTGCCTCAAACAATGGAATTCCCTGCATTTTTCCAAGACTAATTTGTACACTAATTCATCTCTTTGATTGAAAGTCCTCATGACTCAGCATGGTTTTCTGTCTTTCCAAGTGGAGCTATTACTTTCTGCATTTTTGTGTGCTGCACTTAAATGCTTGAACCAGTCATTCAATTTAAAATGTTAGTAGTGTTCTTTCTACCACCTACTTGAGGAACCTCTTCCTATGGTGACCTTTAGTAATTCCTGATGGATGTGTCATCCATCCCTACTTTTATGTGAAAACTCCCTCACTGATTGATGCTGGTGTGATTAATGGGAAATATTGCATAGATATATAAGAAATGCTGTTATTTTAGGTTTCATGATGGAAATGGCCTCATGGGATGGAGGAATTTCTCGGACTGTACAATTCCTGGTACCACAGGTAGGTCAAACCAAATTCACATCCAACCTAGGAGACTGTTGGAAAAAGAAGTTACATGTCAGCAGATCTAGTTTTGATGTGTTTGCTATTCCCTGCTCTTTTGGGGTGAGCTTAAATTAATCAGTGTGGTTTTGGTTCCTTGCCTGTAAAACAGGATTAAGGTTTATATTTTTGAATATCCAGTGGTATCTTCTGAGGATGCTAAAATTTCAAACTGGGAAGTTCAGCTTTCCAAATGTGCCTCGTTTTTGAAAAAGAGACTTTTTTTGCTGTTACCCTGAGGAGATGGGCTAACCTGGCATTACAGAACTTTAGGTGTTTATTAGTCATAACATCTAACAACTTGGAAAGCTGCAATGCAGTCACTTCAGTCATGCTTCCACAAAAACCTGAATTACTCCAGGTATTTGAAGTTATTTGTAATTAAGGTTCTAAAATGATTTAATTTGGAGTCGTAGCTGATCTTCAGAAACAGGAAGTTTTCCAAAGATAAAAGGCAGTGCTGGACATAAAATCAGAGCTATGTTAGGAAAGAGATAACATGTATTTCTTGACAAAGTAGGAAGCTGCTGAGCAAGGAGGAAGCCAAGAATAAATACTGAAGTTGAATCTAATGCTGGAATTCAGAGGGCAGGAGTCCTGTAGATAACAAGCAGCACTATCCTACTTTTGTTAGGTAGAAATAATTAGTGGAACAAGAAATCTACTGGAAATGGATATGTCACATAAATACACAGTGTTTTAGGTCAGTCTTTTCCTTTTAATTGAATTAAGTGGAATTATAACACACAGTTTGAAAATTATCTGTGTGGTCTTCTGAAAAGCAGCAATTCTCTGAAATATCAAGAAACAAGGTTGAGAGAGACTTAATTCTTCCAAAAGCCAAAGCTTACTGGTGTGGTTTTTTTTCCCCAGACAATTTCCGAGGAAATGTTTTACCAACTGAGCAACATGCTCCCCCAGATCTTCAGAGTATCCTCTACACTGACTCTGACCTCGAAGCACTGAATTTTGAGGAGCAGAAAGCTGTATCCTGTGGACAGAGGATGAGATTAAAGAGATTCTGGACTAGAATGTTTCTTTCTTGAGGGATGATGACCCTGAAATGGTATTTGTTGCATTTTCAAGAATCGTGTCATCGTAATAAAAGATAAATGCTGTCTGTACCTGGGCGTGAGCGGCTGATTTTTGCCTCTTGCTTTGTTTCAGCACAGTATTAATGTTGAAGTCCTAAACTTTATCTGAAAGACATTCAATGTAACCTATTGTATGTAATCTACAGAAATATATAAGTGATCCTCATACGTAAGTAGGCATAAGAGTAGGAACAAGGTTCTTCTGGTTGTTGACTTTTACAAAGATTTTCTGAATTTTCTCAGTGATTTAAAAAAACTTAAAAGCAATGTCAGATGTCTCCTTGGAATAACTTTGGTGTAATTTGTAACAGTGCCTACAAAATAAAATGTATTACTGCCCCATTTTTACAGAATGAAAGACATTAATCCAATATTTAACCTGCTACATTTTGTAAATCATGAGAGCGTTTAAAAAAATCAAATTAATATACTTGTGACAATAATTAGATTTTTTAATTATTATTTCTTCCTTTTTTTTTTTACTATGTTTACTTTTTGCTTTATTTTCAGACTTCATATTGACAAGTGTGTCATATGAACAACTTAATAGGAACACTAAAGTGTTCTGGACTGTTGTACAGGTATAATTTGCTGCTTATTAGTTATTAACGTTTTATGAATAATCAGAAATTCTGGGGAGACAGCTCAAGATGCAGCTATGGAATTTCTTGGAACAAAGTTGAATCCAGTCAAAAAAAAACCCAACCAAACCAGCCCTGCATCCCAGTGATGGCAGGTAAGGATGATATTGGGAACTGTTTTTCCTCCTTCTTGGACATCCTGGTCCTCAGCTGTGGACCCAGGAGGCTGGAAGGAGCCCTTCCATGCAGGGACTGGCCACAGGGAAAGTCCCATCTGGAACTGGGGTTCCTGGGATTGCCAGGACCATTGGGCTCACAGCAAAGCAGGTGGGGAGGGAAAGGTCCCAGGTGACTCCCCAGATCCACAGTTCTGCTGTGCAGGAAGGGTCCTGGCAGAGCTGGAATCAGAAATCTCTGCCTATTTATTGCTGAAATTCTGCACTTGAAAACTGTAGAACCTGAAAGCTAAGTAAACCCTAAATTCTTTTCTATCTCCGTTGTGATTTTCTTTAAAAGTGATTTAGTTTGACAAATGCAAAGATGGCAGAGCTCCCTTGTGGGGAAACGGCATAATTTAAAATTCTCACAGAGAATCCAAGGAATATTCACCAGTTCATGATGTTTATAAAGTTATTGTGTAATAACAGACTCTGAGCTTAGTATTTTTGAGTCCTGCATGCTGTAAGAAGCCATGTAAGTGACCCAGCAAACATCTCTTGCTGAACTGTTAAATACTTTCTTTTCCTCCGCCAGCAACTTCTATAGAGGCATCATGCAAGTAATGTGACCTAATTTGGTGTTCTAGAAAAGAAGGATGTAAATTCATCTAGAAGGAGCTGGATTAATTCTGTTAAAGCTCATTTTACATTGCTGGCCTTCAGCTGAAATCAAACTCTGGTCCCAGAAAAGCAAATGCTCTAACACTATTCTGTTTAGGAAAGGTGTGGTGGCAGAAGTATCCCTTTTTATAAGCTCTAAGACTTATCTGTGTTGTGATAAAGGTCTGCGTTACAGATTTTTAGTTTTATTTTTCCCTTCAGTCAGCACATCCACCAACAAGGAGCCTGTGGAACACCAGCAGTCCTTGAGCAAATATCTTGCTTATACTTCTAGACTATTTGTTAATAAAAATTATGCCCGTTCCTTTGCCAAAGCAGGAAGACACCATTTAATTTAGTTGCACTTTGATGAAACTGCTGCTAATTTCTAAGAAAATAGTTCAGATTTTTGCCTTTTATTTTTGAATGTGTGTTTTCAGTCCTCAGGAGGTTGCATAGAAACTTGTCGGCAGTTAGTCTTTGGTACTAAAAAGAACAAACAAGCTCTAGAGATGAGGTTTTGGAAAGTCAAAGCGGTTGGAATGGTATGGGGAGACTATTAGTTCTGCTTACTGAAGGCTGACCCTTGGAAATGCTGAATTGTCCTGCCAGAGGGAATCTTTGTCAGAAGGATCCTTGACACAACATGTATTATTCCCATTTTTCATATCTATTCCCAAGAAAGTGGTGGTAACAGCAGATTTTTAGCTGCCTTTTAGAAAAAAAAACAGAATATAGAGATGGGATCACCTAAACTGTACTTTCTGTTTGATCTGTACCCAGCAACTGTAACATGCAGGCTGCAATTTCTCAGAAAGCCTGTTTGGGTCATGAAAAGCTATTCAAGATTAAGAGGAAAGTGACTTAATGGGCATGAGGTTTTCTATTTGTATATGCAGTGCACTATTCCTTGGAAGGATGACAGGATTTAATGCCTTGAAAATGTCGTGTAAAATTGCAGGCATGGCTCGTATTGAATAAAAAATTCTCGCCACTAGGGAGGAGTGAGGAGCAAATGCCATTGCTCAGCTTTGTTAACCTGCTCGTGGTGACCACTATAAACTGCAGGTGCCCTTTGCAGAGTCTGAACTGAGGTTGTTGCAAGGAAAAAAAATTGCCAAGAGTCTTGATTTGTCAAGGATTTAAGTTACTGACCTTCACCTATTGTCCCCAGCTCTGTGATCCCTGTCTGTTTGCTCACATGGTAACTGGTGGCAAACAAGGGCAGCAGAATGCAGGCAGTTGAGACACAGATGTACAGACCTTGTCTTGCCTGTCCCCTGCTGCAATGTCAGAAATTTCCCTGTTGGTAGATGGCACTGTCCAGAGGGGTGGGAATTGTATCTGGGGTCTTTCCTTCTGCAGTAGTTCTCTCTGGAGAGCACAATCTAAGTTCAGCTTAATGATGAAAGAGTTATTTTATAACTTTTCCCATTGTATCAGAGATGAGTGAAGCCACAGAAGGTTATTATGGAAGAAGGGATATAGTATAAAGGAGGAAATTATCATGGAATGGTTTGAGTTGGAAAGGACCTTAAGGAATACCTGGTTCCATCTCAGTTAGGACTGAGATCACACACTCTAACCCAGTTCTGTGATTTCTGTGAGCTTAAAAGTTGATCAGTTTATCTCATCTGTGTCTCATTTCCCCCTCATTGTAGGAAAGTTTAATTTACACTTGCGTGATATTTTGAGCATTAGTCCTTGCAGGCCTCATTTACTCTTATTTCTTGCCTGTGCTGTATCCAAAAATATATAGCTATTTGCTGGTATTCACACCAGGTCAGCAGTGTAAAGAGATGCCTGCCCTCTTCTTGTATCTTTGCCTCATGGAGATACCAGGGTGGACCATCAATACTGCATAAAAATACATTTATTACTTCATCCTAGATAGTGGATGTGGTAGAAGTCAGTAGCAACCACAGGATTGTGGTCCCACGGGACCACAGAATTAGAAGAATATATTCTTATGCACAAGGACAAACAACTGGCTCCTGGGCTGAGCCCTGGGGAGAGCATGTATGGTGAAGGCAGCCTGAGGTTACCAAATTTGAGTGAGCTCAGACACAGACAGTTGTCTTATGTGCTTGTTACTCTTGAAAATGCAATTTTGAATATTTAGGAGCAAAGCATCTCAGTTCTTGGAAACATTTTCACTCCTATGCTTCAGTACCAAGTACTTCCACAGGTTCAGCATGGGTGGCAGGCTCACAGCATCTGAAGTGGGCATATAAATTGCATCTTAATTCCCATTTGGAATGGGCTAACTTCTTTCTCTGCACATGGTACAGGCTGCCCTGATGATTTTAAGCTATAGAGAAACCCATAAGAAACCTGTAAAGCTCTTTTGAAGGTTATTTCTCAGAGGTTAGGCCAGATTCTGGGTAAAGACAGGTGGTTCATAGTTCCTTATTTCTAATTCCCACTTCAGAATAAACTGCAAAGGGAGAAAAACAGAATTATCGTTTATAATAAAGAGAAAAGCTGTTGAAATGAGTCAGATTAAGATGTGAAGTCAGTCTTGCAAGCTCTGTCTTGTTCTATAAGGTTCCATACCGAGTGTCATGTCCAAAAGTCCATTGCTTAGTAGGACCTATCAACTATCATTATAGAGAATCATGGAATCACAGAAGGGCCTGGGTTGGAAGGGACCTTAAAGATGATCCAGTTCCAACCTCCTGCCATGGGCAGGGACACCTTCCACTAGACCAGATTGCTCCAAGCCCCATCCAACCTGGCCTTCAACACTTCCAGGGATGAGGTATCACAACTTCTCTGGGGCAACCTATTCCAGTGCCTCCAGTAGAGAATTTCTTCCTAATATCCAATCTAAACCCACTCTCTGTCAGTTTGAAGTCATTCCCCCTTGTCCTGTCTCTACATGCCTGTGTAAAAAGTCTTGTAAAAAGTCTTCCTCCATCAAGGAAGCCAGCTGGAACAGGAACACAATTTAGACCAGGCCAAAGGATATGGCTGGAAAATAGCTGATGTAATTTTGTAGCCCATATATGCAGCCTATATGTTTAGTGGAATATGGCAGAGTGGACAGGCCACCAAAAAGACTGCAGAGGTGGTGGAACACTCTATAAAGAGTGGGGTGGCAAGTGCAGCTTGGGGAAGATGAGACAGCTTGAGCAAGCAAAACTTCCTCTGGGCACTTTATTTCCATGCCATGTATTTTTTTAACTGGAAAATGTACTATGGACATAAGTATGTGATGCACGGTTCCCGTCTCATTTGCCAGTTCCTCTGCTTTCAGAACTGGCATGGAACAGCACTTTCAACCAGTCCTATGCAGGGCTGAGAAAAGGTGGAGAGATTTTCTCTAGTGGGAATAGTTATCGATACCCATCGGAAAAAAAAGTCACAGAGCAAAACAAGGTTACTGTGTCATGTTTGTAACGTGGTCCTATAAATTTGAAGTATCTATTATCTAATATTCTATGTAACATAGAAAAACTCAGTGTTGAGTTGTGAAAGAACTCTGCATGGACCAGCACATAATGATGATATCTTCACTTCTCACAAGAGCCATGGTCTGTACTGGCATGTTCCAGGTGGCTGTTGCACTTCCAAACTTCTAAATCTTCACTCAGTGTGAATGCAGGAAAAAATATCATGATAGAAAAGGCACTAACCTTGTGCAATCTGGAGCCTGCAGGATGTGATGTTAGTTTTGATTGTCTTCCTAGTTTTTATTTGGCATTCACTTCCTGCTCTGTGTTTTGCTCATGTAAATTCAAAGTCTACCAAAGTTTACTGTCTTACTCCAAAATTACACAGGTGTAACTGAGGGCAGAATTTGTGTCCCCCTTGTGTGTCCTTCCAAGGGTGCTGCGTTTGAAGAGATACACACAGAGCAACACTGGCTGAATGACAACTGAAAGGGAATATGAAAACCATCTGTAAATATTCAAAGGGTGCAAAGAGTAAGGAGGAGGTGGGTTTGTACCTCATGTTCCAAGAAGGGTTTCGACTCAACTAACAGGGATAAAACTAGCAAAGAAAACTAAGATTTAGAGAAGCAATCTTTCTAAAAACTTAGAAATCAGTCTCATAATGTACAAACATTTCTCTGAGAATGGAGAGAGATCCACTGTGTGGATCAAGGTGACAGGATACAGCTATGCCTTTGTGTTAGAAAGTGCTCTCAATCTGCCTGGGAGGTGGAAGGACAGGGCTCCATGTCTGGCTTCCTGGTTGCTCAGCAGAAATGGATTAATTTTTCCCACCTTCTGTTACATCTTTGGGAAGCACATGCATGACTGTCTGTGTCCAGGCAGACATGGTTCATCTCCAGTTAGCTTAATATGTCGATTTATTTTAAATCTGCACAAAGGAGTATCCCATGGAGAATATCTCTCCATTCCTTCAAGAGGTATTTTCAGTGGAAGACAAAACCTTGGGGGAAGAAATCCTTACGCTGAATTAATTCAGGGTTGGATAAAGGGGCATAGGGATGTGCTACATGGCACTGGCAGCTCTTTCCAACTCTTAACAGTGCCGATGTCATCAGAGCATCTTTGAGTTTCAATAGGAGTTCAAGGCCCTCAGCCCCCAGGCAGGAACAGACCCGGTACACATAAAGTTAGGAATGTCTTGGACTGGGAAGTTACCAAAGGTGAAACCAGCTTGGTTGTCTCCCAGAAATCTTATTTTGAGTTCCTTAAACTGAGCCATAACAGCTCCTGCCTGGCAGAAATTATAATCCTCCAAAATGCTCTGTACTCACTCATGCAAGTCATTTATAGTGACTGTTTCAACTTTGCTCCAAAGGACAGTTTTAAATCCCAGCTGAAATAGCAGCACTCCACAAACAGGGGCCTGCTTCCTTCCGCCCCTCCTCATGCATGTTATCAGTCTTCTCCGTGTCTATTTCCACAGCGGAAATCCTACCAGCACAAGGCAGCCAAGCCTCCTTTTTTGAGGAATGAATCTCTCCTTGCCCACCAATAAAAGATGGAATTTGCAGCGGGTCATTGACAGGAGCTTGGCCTCAAACTTGACCAGCTACACAAGAGGATGTGAGTTCTTCTGTTGAGTAGCTGTTTGGAAACCGCTGCCTGACCACCAGTTGTTATCTTGGATGTGTTTTTAGCCATTTTAGGCAATTCTCCCTGACGATGGAAGTGGTTCTTTCTTCCAGGCAGTCCATAAATTATGGGCAAGTCTTTCAAGCTGATGTTGCTACATGTAAAATGGTCCACACCACTCTTGCGTTGATAGTGCTCCTCAGCTCTCTTTGTGGAGTCTTCCTGTTGAGAAATATGAACTGCAGATAAAAATACACTGTTGGCATCTTTCTGAGTGACCACAACACAGAAGGCAAAGCTTGAAATGAAATTATTGTATCCTTAATGGAAATTAGCTGCCTCACCCTGAAGTGCCCAACACCCAGCAAAGTCCCTGTGTTTCAAATAGTCCTTTTGGAAAGCCTATCACTGCATCAAACAATTTATTCTACTAAATTGATTTAAAAATGGAAGCATTCAAGAGATTGAATGATACACAGCTGACAGTCATGCAGAAGACAGGCAGCAAACTTGAGGAGTTTTTGTTGTTAGCACTGAAGAGAGACCTTGTCACTCTCTACAACTACCTGAGAAGAGGTTGTAGCCTGGTGGGGTTTGGTCTCTTTTCCCAAGGAATAAGTGATAGGAAAAGAGGAAAGGGTCACAAGTTGTGCTAGGGGAAGGTTTAGATAGGATATTAGAGAACATTTCTTCAGAGAAAGGATTATCCAGCACTGGCACAGGCTGCCCAGGGAAGTGGTGGAGTCACCATCTCTGGAGGGATTTAGAAGACATGTGGATGTAATGCTTAGGGGCATGGATTAGTGGTGGACTTGGCAGTGTTAGTGTTTGGAGTCCATTGTCTTTAAAGATATTTTTCAACCTAAATGATTTTGTGATTCTATGAAGCTTCAAACTGTGGGCCGGGTAACAGTAGGATAAATTAGAAAGAGATAAAAAGTAGTTTTAGATCATGAAATTATGCTGATTGGAAACATTATACAGCTATAGAAAAGTTAGATCACTTAAAATCACCTGGGAATTAAGTAATATGCCCATATTCTGATAAGGCCTCAGAAGAAAATACCAGCACCCACAGGTCATTTGAAGCTAATTCCTTATAATTGAAGTCCCATATCAGGAAAAAGATCATTACAAGGGGCAGAAAGGTCATTACAAAGGCCTTCCAGCCAGAGCACTACACTCCAGCAGCTGTGAGCTCTCCCCATGAAAACAGCAGGTTTTGAACTGAAATGGCTCTGTAAAGAGGACCATCAAAGTTGTTTGTACTGAAACTACAGAATTTGAAAAGCTAAAGCCCCAAAACCTTCCTGTTATGATCTTTGCTGGGTGCTCTTATAGTGGCTGACTTTAAAGTCAGCCTTCTCCACTCAGTTGCCCACCTAAGCCAAATTCAGGGCTTTTTATGGCAACACGATGTTAAATACCAGCCCTACTGAACTTTGTGGGAGTTTTGGCAGCATTTGGCCCAAGATTTCACTTCTCAGCCTACCTCTAGCACTAAGAATATATACAGAATATATACCATGCTTTCCAAATCCCCCTTGTTGGCAGTGCATCAGTATAGGCAGTACATATCTCATGAAAAACAAAAATTAATAGACCCATTCATTCACATCAGTAACATTATTCAGGTGCTTACGTTTTCACAGAAGAGAAAGAAAGAAAGAAAGAAAGAAAGAGGAAGGAAGGAAGTGTGCTGGTTTAAAAGTTAACCAGCAAGGCAAAATGAACTCAATTCAAAAGAGAGATTTATAAGTCAGAATAACAATTTATTAAAATAATGCAATAAGTACAAGTATACAGACAGACAATTGGTTTTAACCCACAAAACCCAAATGTACAAACCCAGCACCCTGGGGTATGAACAAAAGTGGTGTACCTTGGCCCACCCCCCGAGTCCAAAGCAAAGGGAGAGGGGATAAAACCTGCTGGTGGGAGAGCTGCTGCAGTCTGGTCAGAAGTGGTGATTGCAGTCCAGTTGAGGGTGGTGGTCTCAGCCTGGTTGGGAGCAGCGGTGGTCTGCTGTCTTCCTCTGGGTCCCACGAGAGAGAGCCCCAAGGCTCTGAAACTCCCAGTTATATACTCTCCAGTTCAGGCGGGAGTGCTCAGTCCCTCCCTCAGAGTAGGGAATTCCATAAAAGGGCATGTGGATGCTCAGTCCCTCTTATCAGAGCGGGGAATTCCATATAAGGATATCAGAGCGGGGAATTCCATAAAAGGGTACAGGAACATCTTCCCACCTTGCAGGCCTCTACTGACAGCAGTTTTTGGGAAATGGCATGGAGGCTATAGAATACACAGTTTTGGGTTACACCCATCCAGGGATGAATTGGTCCCAGCCGTTCTAACCAGGACAGGAAGAAAGAGAGAAAGAAAGAAAAAGAAATAAAGAAAAGAGGAA